AGACAACATTAAATGCACAATTTATGTCAAAGTTCAAATTCTTACTACTACTACAGCTGCTACAAAGGTTATTAGCTTTAATGTTTTTTTTCTACTTATCTCGGCACATCTTCTTCATGTGTTTGCTCGGCAGAGCTAGCCGTCACTCACAAAGGGAATATTGCATTTTGCCCCTGTCTCAGTCTTGCGGAGATTTAATTTTAATGCAATAAAACTGTTTAATCTTTCCTCTCCATGGCGCAGGAATAATTTTGCGCTTCTTCCCCTGGTTGCCCAAATTAATAGCTTACATATTTATTGTTGGAGTTTCTGGTTAATGTGAGATAGAGGGATCAGTTGGGGGATGGCATTGTTTGGTTTGGGAAGTATTCTGTTGGTCGCGTAGCAACAGGCTCCTGGAAACGGGAGTGGACTGCGTTGTCCCTGGCAACCGTTGTTACTCAGCAAACAATGTGGGCCAGTACAAACAAGAGCCAAGACTGTGGAGCTCCTGTTTTTAATTGAACATCTGTATGTGTTTTTCTCTGATTAAATGCTGTTTAAGTTAGATTTCTCGGTGACGGACGTGCTCAAGTCCTGTTCGGGTTGTCTGATAGAAGTGGCAGGTATAAGTTCAGGTTACGAGGTAATGCATGACAAACTGAAACGGTTTTTCTTTTTTAAATTCCGGGACGCCTTGAGTAAAAATAAATCAATCATTCTTTTTCCTCTGTTCCTCTTTCCAGCGTGTTTTTCCGTTTCGAAACGATCGCCATTTGTTTTTTGTATTTTTAAGAGCTGTGTGGAAGCAGTAAGAATACCTGCACTGTCTGTCCTTGTTTGGGCTGTCGGCTTCTGGGCTGTTGTTGTCCTACCGGGCTCCCCAACAGCAAAACAAGGGGCGTCTGCAGGCCCGTGTTGCAGTCGGGGTTCGTTTGAGCTGTTCTGTGGCTCGACTCGTGCTGGGACTCCTCCTTTGTCCTGCTGGAGCAGCTGGTGTGCCTTTTAACCTTTACTGCGTGCTTGTGCCGGTGGATTTAGCATGGCTGTTAAGAAGACGTTTTTAGCGGCGGGGCCACTGAGGCTGAATGCTTTCTGTAAATCAGACTGTTTTTAAAGCGACATTTTTTTTTTGTATAATCCTGCAAGTACAAATGTTTTCTTTTAACTTTGGGATCAAAGCACCTAGACTTATTACTTCCTTGAATAACAAGCAGAAAAAAAGTCTTAAGCTAACTTAAGGGCTTGTTAAGCCATATTTTATAACTCATTCACACCCTGTGGTGAAAATTCCTTTCTCCTAAGGCTTGGAAATCAAGCATTGTTGTCTTCTTTAACATGAACGCTTTCAGATTTTTTTTTCTTTAATTAATTTTTTCTTTTTATATCGCATGTTCTGCTGGAATGTTGTTTTGCCTTTCTGCCGAGGGAAAGGGGCCTAGATTGAGTGAGCTCTAATCTTTTAATTTTCTCACAGACGCATGTTGGTTTTCAACCTCAGACGTGAAACACAAGGAAGAGAGAGTCTTCTGAATATCTCTTATGAAGCTGAGCAAAAGTCCATGCGATTCGCATGGGACTTGGCTAGTTAGCAAAAAATAAAAGGACTTAAGATTTACAGATCATTTGTGGATTTCTTAAGCTTCAGCTCCCCCAGTTTTGGACAGATTCTTACTGTATTTCAAGAGCTTTAACTCATATTGATTGGAGAGCCATTGGCAATACTGATCTGACCTTAAGTACCTGTTGGAAGGAGCAGCAACAGGCTGGCCATGAGACTGAAGATATTGGAACTCTCCCCCAAGACTCGTTGGAGATGTATTTTAAACTAGGAATGGCCTTTTGTGGTATGTCCTGCTATGTATGTCCTGCTATGTATGTCTTCCCTAGGAAGAATTCCTTCACTTGAGAGGTCTTAGAACTGTATTTAAAAGGGCAGAATTAAATTGCACTAACACTCTTAAGTTTTTTTTTTTTACTTATTGCGTCTGTGAATAACAAAAAAAAAAAGTCTTAAGCTTACTAGTGGCTTGTTAAGCCATATTTTATAATCTCTTGATATTTTTGCCTGTTCCGGATAAACTAGAAAGCTTCCCCAATACCACCACCCAGAGCTATCGTATCCATGTCGTGTTCCTGCGATCAAAATCACCACCACAGCTGCCCACCCCTTTGTAATTTTCTAAAAATCCTTTTCGGGCACTACAAAAATCAAAAGAAAGCACACCTGTCTCTGTGGTCAGTGTCTATCGATTTATACAAGTCTTTCAAAATCCCTGTTTGTTCTGCTGACGTAACCACTGCTTCTTTTGACTCACAAATACAGCCACGGGCTTGTCTGGAGCTGGAACCCTGCCCTGCGCCTAGAAACTAAGGCTGTTTCTCACGTCAAACCCTGAACCTCATTCCACACAGACGTCCACCCCCTTCACTGCCTCCTGTTTGAGGAGAGAACAGTTAATTGATCAGTATGATCCCCCCTCAAGGCCATTCTTAATTTTAGAATTTTAACTATTCTAGCTGTTGGCACACCATCCTGTTCTATGTTCCAGAAATATTCATATTTTATCACGCATGCTTTTACATTTTTTAAATACATTATTAATGTACTGTGGTCATGTACTGGGCTAATGCTTTTGTCCAGATTGATTTACATTTGTTCTGCACGGCAATCTGAGTAGTTTAACTTGCTCATAGACACTAATGCTGTGCTCCATCTTTGAACCCAGAGTCGTGCAGTTCGATGACCAGAGCTCTACCCTCATGTCACTCGTGGACGTGTATAATATATTGTGTGTGTGTTTGTTAAATCCCCCCCCCCCCCCTCCCATTGTGTTGTAGTTGGAGCCTGAAGAAATACCATCTCATGGCACTTTGTGTGGCAGAGGTCTTCCACATTAAAATGAGTACCCAGCCCAAGTGCCGAATTACATCGTTTTGTCTCAGAGCTTCATCCAGGCTAGGTGGTAGGTACACCAGCCTTCAGTATTAGCATACGTGTTAGGCCCTGCATGATGCAGAAGGCTGTACCGACTAGACACAAGTGTGTCCATATCGGTGTAATACCTCTACTTCTTCATCGCATTTTCCCCACTTATGTGGAGTCTGCTTGTTTGCACCGATTTTTCCACTTCGTACGGTCTGCGGCGTCTCGGCAGGCCTCTTATATTCAAAGCAGAGTGTGTGCAGAATGATTTTAAATCACATGGTGGTACTAACCTGCAGTGACCTTAAACCATATCCCCATTCCAAGTGTGTGCTGAAAGTTATGTACAAGTCATTCCAGATATGGCTTAGATAATGAATTCTGAACGATAAGATATTGACGTGTTGCACCGTTTTGAAAGGCCGTGTGTGATAAGAACTCGTTAATGACTAGCTTTTGTGTGATCGGCTAAGAGACCGAGGCTCATCCGTTGCTCTTCAGGGCCCTGGAGATGGAGTTTGGATTCCCCTGACTCCCAGTTTAGCTCTCTCTGCTCTGCCGCGCTGTCTGCTTGCTTTTCTTTAAAAAGAAGAGGAAGGAGGGAGCTGGTGATGGAAGGGGTGGGAGGGAGGCAGGGAAATAAGAGGGGGGCCGAGTGGGGGCCGGAGGGGGGGGTGGTCACCATGGAGCCCTCTCCATAGCAACCACCAAACGTTTACAAAGCATTCAGGAATTTCCTCATATCAGCTGGATTATTGGAACCCCTCCGGAGAACGTTTTCATTTAAAACAAACATTAACATTGGAGATTGTCAGGAGCGGGGAGGAGAAAAGATCTCTGCTGTACGTAAAGTAAAGTTGCAAGGAAGAAGAGAGTTGAAAAGCATGGTGCTCTCTCTCCTCTTCTCACAGGCTTGCTCTTTTTTCTCTCTGTGTCCTTTTTTTCTTTTTCCTGTGCTGCCCCGTGACCTTGTCCAGTAGTAAGTGCTGCTTGCATTGCTTGAAGCTGGTAAGATTAGGCATTTCCCTGCTCTTCCTTTCTTTTCGGAGCTTTAACTGATCTACCAGACATAAAACCGATTCTGAGTAGTTCTTCCCTGTCACTAGCAAAACTCCTACCAGTCAGCTTCTGACAGGTATATTTTTCAACCCACTGCATTTAAGTTCTGTTTGGGTTTCATTAGAGGATTCTAAGTAAAGAGAACAGCACAGAACCTTGTTTAATTCAATTCCTAATCTCTTATCAAAGTGAGTGACTAACTTGCATGAATTAAAGATTTTACGGTATTTTTCTTTTTCTTTTTTCAATTTTCTGTTTTTCCTGCTTTGTATTTAGCATTTATTTAGCTACTTATCATACAAAATCCAGAAATGCTTTTATTAATCAGGGGCATGAAGAGTATTGGGACTTTTAAGGTTTGTAAGTCTATTTTTGTAACCTGACATGGCTGGATTAAAAAAATATTTGAACAACCTCAACCTAGGTGGTTAATGAATGACTCTCCGATTTAATAACGCGATTAGCCCATAGGAGGTAATGGCCTGTAATAAAGGCGAAGGAATCAGTTAAAAAATTCAAGCTGAAGATCTTGGTTGTAATCAAAGACATCTGAGGTAATTGAAGGCTTTTAAACTTGAAAGGCTTTTACAAGCAAGTCATATGTCTCAGGTTTCAGTTTTTAGAAGAATTGCAATGATGGTAAGATATGGTACTCTAGTTAGGTTCCACTGACTTCCAAAAGCTGCACGAAATGGTCATTAGATCATTTAAAAGAGTGTTTTCTGGGGGGTTTTAGGAGGAAACAGATTGAAGTGATGTCTAGAAATTGCATAATGGCTGTGAAAATGAGCATTAATTCATCTAGCTGGGGGCAGGTATAAAAGAATCTGATTCTCCATGGGGAAAGAGGGAAGGGCTTCTCCTCATTCTTAGAATTTTCCATGTGGGTCTAATCCATATTCAGAATTTATTAAATTCATTTTTTAAGCAAATTTAAAATCCCTTGGTCGCTCATTTTGAACTCTTTTGTTGGAATCTGAATCGGCACAGCGGCGATGCTCTAACTCTCTCCCCCCACCCTTCCGGTTCCTTCCAGGGTCTAGTATGCAGAATTCCGAGGGCGGATCCGACTCGGCGGCCACTGTTGCTCTGAGAACTTCCACATCGGCCCAGGCCCCCGTTGTGCAGCCGGTCCCGGCCTCCCAGCAGGTACTGTGTGGAACCCGGCCCGGGAGATCACCGCTGATCCAGAGCACTCAGTGGCACTTACTGCTGATCAGTAATAAGTGCCACTCCGTAGTGTACTGCTTATAGTAGTAAGGTCTGCCCCTTGCTCAGCAGGTCGGGCACCTGCTGCTGATCGGATCCTTACTGTTGTAAGGTCTGCACCTTGCTCAGCAAGCAGGGCACTTACCGAACCTTATTAAAAACATGGAGTGTGCCTTTTTTTTATGTTTTGCTGACATTAAGGCATATATTTGACGGAATCGGCATGCAATTGAAAATACAGGAAAAAAGTCTGTTACTAGCAATACGTTCTATAAATACCTGCAGCTCCTAAAATCTAAGTGGAAATCCTGATCTTTCCAGTGATATAGCGGATGTGAACCCTCTGAAGATGAACCGCTAACAATGTGCATTGGACTGTTTCAGAGTTTGTGCCTGCGTGCTGAAATTGGGGACATCTGGTTCAACTGGTGGCAGTTTCGGGTTGGAATTTTATCATGAGGGATGAATTAGAGCCGTGTCTGTATGTTTTCTTTGGCTAGTACATTGTACTTGCTTTGGCACCTCAACTTCCACTTGTGATTTAGAAAAGCCAGGCGTGAAAGTAACTAGTTAGCTTCTGATGACATTGCACACAGGTTTGCAAATGTTCCTCTAGCAGTGTTTGCTTTTTGCTTTTTTTTTTGTTAACATTTGCTTGTAAGGCAAACGCATAAGTAATTGCATGTTGTTTTTGGATGAGAAAATAAAGCCTGTGATCGCTCACAAAACAATAGGATTGAGCTGAAGCCAGAATTCTCTGGGTGTACAGATGGATGAAGCCATCACTTGGCATCTGATGTGTTTTAGTTTGGAATTTTTTCGGCGGGGTCGGTGTGACTACTGTGTCACCGACTAAGCCTTGGATGGGTGCCTGCAGGCTTGCAGTGACGTTCTACACGTGGCACTGAAACTGCAGCGTGGGGCTTTGTAGCGTGAGACGTTAAAATAGTAACAGGGTTGGAGGCATCAGTATAGGCAGCCTCATTCTCCACATGAGCGGGATAACAGGATTCACAGCTCTGAGCCAAAACAAGAAAACGAGCAATTACAAATTGGGTGGGTATATAGCAAAATCATTGTGGAAATAAAACAAACTTCCCTTTTTTCCCATAATTGTGGAACAAATTGATTTGGCGTTGGATGAATGGAGTTGAAGTTGATTAAAATTGCCCGGTGGTCCAGTGATTAAGGTAATGGTCTGCACTCCAGGTTCCTCATTCAAGCATCCACTTTGACACAATGTTACTCTGAGCAAATTACTGAGCTTCTCTCTACTCTTCTTCAGATGACACTGTCAGAAGAGGTTCTAAGTAGTCAAGCACCAGCTTCCCTCATTCTTTTCGGAGAGAAGCATCTCTTAAGTGACAAGTAATTACCATTATGTGCCAGGGTTATGCATTGTCCAGAATTTAATGGATAACTTTTTTGCTCTAGCTCAGTTTTCTTTACTGCGTCCAACTCCCAGCCTTTTGGAATCTCCAGAATCCCCTCTGTCAGCCAGCCAGGGTTGTGACGCCCTGCCTGTTTTCTCCACAGAGGGTGCTGGTGCAGGCCACGGGCTCAGCCCAGAAGGGAGGACAGGTGCAGCAGCTTTCTGTACCCAGAGTGCAGCAGGTCCCACAGCAGGTGAGGCAGCAGTGCCGTGCATCTCACTCGCACCCTGTGCTTCTCAACAACAAGGAGTTTAGTAGAGCAATCTGTAGGGGCAGTATTGGAGGGAGGAGGTAGCCATGGCCCTGGAGAGCTCCAGATTACTTTGAAGTTCTTGCGGAAAACAAGCTCTGATGTTACATTGGCATAACTAGCTGAGCATCATCTTGACCTTTAGTTTTGAGTGAAGACTTCTAAATGCTGCATTGGTGGTGCTCTCCAGAGCACAGGGTTCAATTTATTAAGATAGGTGGGTAAGCCACATTGACCATGGCTTCCATTGCACTTCATGGCTTCGTTCCTCATCCTTAAGTATGGCAGCGATTTTCAGCACTATAAACCAAGTAAAGAATAATTAAGTAAACTACTGGATGGATGCCCTGCAACGTAATGGGTTAGAGCAGACAATGCTACTTGTGTCAGTACTAGGAGTTACATGTGTCGTTGGGGAGATATTGTGTGTAATTAACTGTCCGATTGCTCCAATGGTCATGCAAAACATTTGCTATACCCATAACTACATTAAAATATCGCCATAGATTAAATCCTCTCCTTCTTTTTCTTTCACTTCAACTTCCCAAATTTACTGAATTTGGAAAATTGCATAAAAGATGCCGCTGCTTTGTGGTTATAAATGCTAAAGTATCCTTGTGTCACTGTTGTCCTGTTCAAGAAAACATAACACAGACATGCAAACGTGCACCTCTACAAGCTGCTTGGCAGCACAAATCTGCAAATCCGTCAATTTCTGAAAGTTTCTTGGAAATCTGAGATTTTGAGATTTGGTTTAACGAGAAGCTGCTGAGTATTGATGAAGTCTTGGGAACAGAATGGCATATTTCAGGGACAGGATAGAAGGACTTTGACTTTGACTCTTGATTTATAAGAGCTGATTTCACACTTGGGATTGGGCGCACTTCCACTTTAACTGTGGAGAATGGCAATTTGGGAAGATTAACTATTTATGAGAGTCTTTTCTGTATTGTACCAAACTAGCATGGTATCCCAGAGAAAGATTATAAAGTGGAGCGTGGCTTTTGCAGGATTTTGTTATTATAACCATAAACACTATTAAACAAACATAGGTATTCATGTGTTATGTGTCATATGTACGAGAATTGCTCTGTTGAGATAGTAACTGCATTTGACACCTAATTATACCTACGTGCCAAGTTAAACAGCTGTTTGGAGTGGTGGTGAAACTTGTGGGCTTCAGTTATGGATGGTTATGAGTTAAGATCTGCAGGTGAAACACTGCTATTATACTCTTGATCAAGGCACTTCACTCTGATTTCTATACTAAAACGCTGAGCTGCATAAATGTGTGTGATGGGTCAGGATCCTGGATGCTGAAGTCTGGACATACTGAAGTTTGGTGTGGATCTGGATTGTCCAGCGAGTAGGACAGTAATCGATTGTGGAATAGACGAATAGGTTCACTACTTCTGCTGCAGTCAGAGACAACACAGAAGGTAGTCTGGAAATGTGTCTGAGAAGGATGCATGACGTTTTTATAAAAAAAAATTCACATGTGGGTCAAGCCTGGATCAAATATCACCGCCAGATTCTTCAATCTAGATTGAAAGTCTAGTGCCAATCCTCAGATATGTTCCCTGCATTGGCTTTAGCTAGTTAATGGGAGGGGAAGAGACGTTTGACTTCAGCCTTGTTGCACTTTAAATGAAGGAAATTGAGTCATTCAGGATTTCCAGAGATGCAATTAGAGAGTGACGAACCAGCTACTTCAGTGTCAGGTTTAGTATGGACGTAGATTTCAGTGTCATCGGTATAGAAGAGATCATTCCAACCATGTGATTTTCATAGCAAAATTCCTAGCCAACCAAGTGGGAACATGTAAATGCTGGGGTCCAGTATTGGGTCCTGAGGAACACCAAGCGCAATGAACTGAGAACACGGTGTCAGTGATCAGTGAAGTACGAGCAGTGTCGTAAAGTCCAAACAGTCTCAAGAAGATATCACGATTAATAGTGTCAGTAAGAAATGCCAGAAGAAGATTGTTAATAACTTTAGCAAGTTACTTACGATAACTTGTTACTAAGTCACTGTGGATAAAAGGTTCAGCCAAATCATTTCATATTCTGTCTTGTCACTTTCAATTGCGAGGGACTACGGAAGCTGCAAGGTTTTGCGACGCTCATATCTTAGCTTCAGGAATCTGCATTTTTATTGGCCACTACAAAGCTTTTGCAGACATTTACATGCTGCACAGGGCTCTTAACGGGAAGTCTGACATCTGGCTAGATCAATCTTGAAAAGAGATGTACATCTCAAGGGTTCTTTCCTAGGTAAGTAAATGAATCTGAAGTTAAAAATGTATTAATTTGGCTGTCGCTTTCCACTTCAGCGTGGTCTTGTTCTTTCACGTGTCTGACCTGTTTGGCAATCCTGCATGCCTTTTCATTGGGAAATATTGCTCAAGATAGCCTGCAGTAAATTTTTTTTTTGTCAGTTATTAGTAGAGGGTCAGGACAAGAAAGCTAGCCAAGGCAATAAACAACAAAAATACACAGTCTGAACAAAAAACAGCCTTTTATCTTTCCCAGGTTTCTTAGAAAGGGCATTTCGAAAGAATCCAACTTTCCCTTTTCAAGAATTAAACCTCCAGCCTCTATCAGTCATTTGCATGATGTCAGTTGAAGCCTTATCATCTCTGTCTTTTCTCAGTTTGCACTTCTAGTGGAAGGGGTGTGAAAGCCACTATTGTTATTTATTGATTCATTTATAGAGGGTCATCATTTAAGATTGTTCTGAATTAGTTCAAGACCCTGTAAAACCAGTGTCAATCAAGTCAGTATTTCTGCCTTTAATCTGTTCTCAGCTGCTGAGAAAGAAAGGCAACGGAGAACTAAAAAGGGCATCGAATAGAAAATGAAAATTTAGCAGGTGGTTAAGAATTTGGGAGGATCAGGAAGTCGCAGACGCAGGGGTGCTCCAGAACCAGGACTGAGAACCACAGTTCTGCACGTTCATTTTTAGGTTTTCATTTCTATGTACATCTTTACACCCTGGATCTAGGTTTTTATTGATATTTCAATGTGTCTGCACAATGGCTGCAAGAGCAGTGCCACAGTCCACCTCTGACATCAGTTTTCTGCTCTCTGACACCTCTCTATGATTGAGGGAGGTGGGGCCTGCGTGTCAGAGAACCAGCCAGATGCAAGACCCCCCTGCAGGAGAAACCGCGTCCAGTGGCATAAACCTGATGGTGCTGCAAGCCTTCTTGAAGGTCCTCCTAATAATAATGTCATTGTAATTTCATAATAATATACATCCATGATCGGAGAGCCGTTCATCACTTGTGAAGTGTAGTGGCAGTCGGGAACCTATTCCAGAACAGCGGGTGGTTAGCGGGACCGCTCCCTGCCAGGCAGACCAATTACCCAGCCTGCCTTGTGCCCCTGGATGATGGGAGGAAACGGGAGCACCTGGCAAAAGCCCATGCAGGTATAGGGAGTACATGCAAACTCCATACAGAAGGGTGTACTGTAGTGGAGAGTCAAACCCAGGACCCAAGTGACCCAATACTCCAGATCTAACCACCATCCTTGCTCATTTTAATGTGGAATAAAACTCTGAAGCTATATGCTCTTTAAGTGTACCTCAACTCAGTGGCCTGCAGAGCGTCAATGGTGAAAAACAAACCAAAAGACATTTAAAAATGAGAACAGGAGGCATTTCTTTATGCCAAGGGTTGTGGGTGTGTGGAGCACGCTACTTAGCAATGTTGGGTAGCTGATACCCTTGCTTCTTTGAAGAAACAGCTCGATGAGATCCTTGGATCTCTTTACTTGAAACCTAATGAGATTTGTAAGTAACTTTAAGTGCCAAAAGGCCTCTTCTCATTTGAAGCCTTTCTTATTTACCCAGGTTTAATTTTGTGCAAGAATTTCCATCTGGCACACGTCACCAAATGAGAATCTACAGCCATGTGAGCAGGCTGTTTTAGTCCAACTAAACCATTGTACTTATCTAGACCAGCACAGCTGTGTGAACAGTTTTCAAACAGGAGTTACAGGGATCCTCGGAAACACATGGAACCTGCTGTCACAGTGCCAGCTGTTACCGGCAGCGGTTTTGCTTTCAATTCTAAATTAGTGATATCATTATTTATAACGCTGAAGTGTTACACAAAGTCTCAATCATAAGCGTGTTGGATTTTTTTGTTTAAATTTGGGGGTTCTTAAGGAGTGGCTCTTGAAAATGAGCCCCTGGTCAGAGATGTTTGGAAACCCCAAGTCGAAACAGCATTTTTGGACTGAGCCGGGATTAAAACGCGTTTCGCTTGACTGAACCGATTTCATTACACTCGCGGACTGGAGTGACTCAAGATATCTCGCAAAAACATTCCTTAGCATGACTGAGGCTCAAATAAAGCCTGTGGGAAATACAGCTATGACTCTTTAACAGCAACCAGTTAACTTTTGTGCAGTAATATTATTTCCCTGCTGTGCTGCTTGAACTCTCTTGTCAACTGATGGAAGCTCACCTCGCTTGTTGTATCGTGTAGAACTGTGATTGCTCTGATCAGCAATTTACATTGCATTGTGATTAACTGAATAGAGTTAATTAAGATAGTTTTGTTCTCAGTGGGTGTCCTTGTGGAGTTACCTTCTACAGAATCCGCAGCACCGCAATGATGCAGGGTGTATGAGAATGAGTGTTTGACACAAGTGATGAAGGAACTCCCAAGGGCAGTGAGGAAGTGATATAATGATAGTTCTTATGTAACAGAGGTTTGCAGAGCAGAAAGTCTTTTGTTAGTTATGCTTCAGATTTAGAAACATATTAATAAAATCATAGTATTTTAGGCTTTAATGACAGACAAAAAATACCACACCATTTTTAACCAGTGTTGGAGAGCCCGGTGCACAATCTTCTCATTATTAACATACCAAGATAGACAGGGATATTTTTGTGACTAGGCTGTGAGCCTGTTTCCTATGCTGTTTATTATGTACCAGCCCTAACTTGCTACAGGCAGTAACCTACTCGATAAGGCACAATTTTAAACATCACACCTTAGGGTCTATTATGGCATGCAGAACCCAACTGTCTTTGTTCCAGAACAGCTCTGAATTTATTAAAGCTTATAGAAGCCTCATCTGAACTGTTTTGTTTCTTAGATGTTTTCTACACTCTTTACTGTTCTTCTCCACTCTGAAGTGCCAGGCTGAAATATCAGTCTTTCAGCAAAACAAAGAAAATCTGTTTGACAGAATAAAGGGGCAAATCGGTTTGTTTATTGCTCTTCTGGCAGATGTGTGCTTCTCCAAGACACGGCTCCGTGTCACCTGATTAGGAATAAAACTCCTGCAGTTTTTTTTTCTTCTTACACTATGACAAACCTTTCTTTGAAGCCCTACAGGCAAGACAAGATTGAAGTCAATAGGATACTGATCATTTTTCTTGTGTTGCTTCTGAGGTGTTATGGACTAATAAGTCTAGTGGGAATTGTTTTCACTGGCAATTTAGCATCAGCTACTGACCAGCACACCTGCTGCCTTGCTTGGGACTAGATTCTCTCTGCGCATGCCAATGTTTTTCTTTTTGTCTTTTCTGTCTTTCCAATAGGTACAGCAGGTGCAGCATGTGTACCCCTCACAGGTCCAGTATGTAGAAGGTGGAGAGGCTGTCTACACCAATGGAACCATGTAAGGGCCAAGCTCTGCTCTCCCTCTGCCTGGCAGTTCTCCCACTGCACCATGTCCCCTTCACAGATCATGTCATGGCGCTCAAGGCCTGGCGTTGATTACCAGAGGCATTAAACGCTCAGCGACACAGCATTGTCCTTCCTCCGGTGGGACCTGGGCTCCTGGAGAGGAGCTGGACAGGGCAGCCGTTTTCATGATTCATTGCACATGGCTCCTTTGCAGTACATCTTAATGCAGTTCACAGCAATGCAAACCGCAAAGCTGCTCACTTCGTTACAGTATGGAGGGAACTCTGTTTTGTTTTCCACACAAGTGATACCTTCTTGTTTCATAAAATTGCAGAGATCTGTCATTGAAAGCTGTGGCATTATTGAGTTCTTCTGAAATAATTCTGCCCCAGTTGTATAAAGGTTAGCATGACCATTTGCTGTGGGCCCTGTGTACTCATTTTTGTGGTGGGTGTTTTGCCACAATTGGATTGTCTCTTTGTAAAGGATGTCAGAAAACACTAGGCACAAAGATGAGTGTGTCTCCCAACACCTCTGCAGCTGTCTGCATGGCCTGAAGCAGGTGGTTGACATACAGAGCATGCCCATGGAGACCATGTGCAGGGAAAGCTGAACAATATAATTGTTTTTGCGAGTTGCTCTGGTATTTTATTTTGTATTCTGTTTAATTCAAAATTGGTTTTATTGAAACTTCCAGAATGAAGATATTGTTTCTGTAGGACACAGGTGATAATGGGTGGTATCCCTAGAAAGGGTTTTTCTAGGAACTTTTGAAGGGATTGAACATTTAGTGCCTATGAGTTTATTGGCTATGCATCTTTCCATGCCCTTCTCTCTGTATAATAGACAATTATCAGTCTCAGGCACACTGCAGTAAACCCTCTAGTGCATTCCTTAGCATTGCTTGGGTTGTCCAGAGAAACATCAGGTATCCTGTAAGGATGGAATTTGATAGGGTCTTATAGGAACTCGTTTCTATAGAAGGGCCCTAACTGGGTTGCTATGGAAACATAGGACACAAGATTATTAGTCACGGAGTCCAGTGGTTACCATGGGGATCCCCTTATTTGACAGTGGCTTCCTGTGATGGAGACTAGGATAGAATATTATGAGATGTAACCTAGGTGGTAAGGTGGGATGGCAAGACGTTAATTAATGTTAGTAATGAGCATTATTTTAATCATTTAGGTCTATGCAAGTTGATGTATAGTTGGAGGAATATTGAATTAGCCACTGCTCTGCCACCATATTCTCTTCAGATTGTGATTTTTCATTTTCTTCTCATCAGTTAGCTGCTAATTAGTTCGTAATTAATAGTTAATTAAAATACCTTTGTATGGAGTGATAGAAATAGGAGAGTCTTTACACTGGACAGAAGAATAAATCTTTAAAGGGGATGTAGATGGAGCACTCTGGACAGTCCCTTAGGTCCAGACTTTTACTTAAAAAAATATGATTCAGCACATAAAAGTAAAAGATGTTTTTTCTCAACACAAGGCTCAATGCAAACTATTGCTTTTGAGTAACTGAACTGCAGATTCTAGATCTGCACCCTGAGACATTAACTGGGTCTCTTTGAAATCTGTATTTCCATAGCCTATTATACCCCTGTCCAATATAGCTGTCTGCGAATACTGCGGCTCTTGGAATACTCAATTGTTAATGGGTATGTTCTCTCTGTGAGAGTTACAGCCACGAAGACTTTCCATGTCTTGATAATGGTTCTGTATGCGCTGCCAAGTTATCTTAGGTGTTTTTACAGGGCTCAGTGTATTCCACAGATTTCTCCGTTATGATTTCTGGTTGGATCATCTGCTATTTCGCATGGTAGCCTGACTGTCCCAGCTTGAACGCCTTGAAAGAGAGGAAGTGGTGTGGGGGACGCTTTTGTGTGCCACACCATCACTGATCCACAGCGTGGGATAGAGTTGCAGCCCCAGCCCCCACCCACAACCTTCCTGTGAACAAAATTAAAGTCATAGACGCCTGTATGTTTTATGGAGTATTTAGTGTGTGAGTTAGTGTGCCTTAGTGGGTATGATAAGGAACTGACATGTGTTGAAGTCACTAGACCTGCCTTTCCTCTCTTTTCCAGCCGCACCGCCTACTCCTATAACCCAGAGGCTCAGCTGTACAGCCAGGGTAGCGGGGGGACCTATTTTGACTCGCAAGCGGGGGGCGCCCAGGTCACCACCGTGGTGTCCTCGGCCAGCGGCGTGCCCCCGCACGGCATGGTGGGTATCGCCATGGACGTGGGCGGCAGCCAGATCCTCTCCAGCGGCGGCGCCTACCTCATCCACGGGGCGGGCATGGAGGGCAGCCGGCACCACGCCTCGCACGCCTCCCGCTCCTCCTCTGCCATGGTACGACCCGCCTCGCAGGCCCCGGGCCTCAGGGACCACCCGGGCCAGTCGCACGCGAGTGTGAGCGGGCCAGTCGCACGCGAGTGTGAGCGGGCCAG